TACTTAAACATATTTATTTCTGTTTGTTGCCAAGGCAACATTTAATTATTTTTTCGCAACTCTCTGTCTTTTCAGTTTGTGAAGTGTGGATATGCCGGCTCTAATTTCCCAGAGCACATTTTTCCGGCTCTGGTGGGGAGACCGATCATCCGCTCCACAGCCAAAGTGGGAAACATCGAGATCAAGGTATATGTAATTTATTTATTTATGTTTTTACCTGAACTGTCACCTGCACTTAAAATACTTTAAAAAGTCGTTTCCAAGTAGTCTGTTCTCTAATGCTAAACAGCCCATATAATTTTATGTCTTTGATTTTTAAGCAAGTTTCCTCACTAAACTGCACCCTAAATCTTTCCCTACACTGACACCATGACTTGGGCTCTGTCCCAATCACCCAGTGAGCTGCCTGGCTGTATACACCCTACAGCAGTCTCCTAAAGCTGCATCTGTATTGAAATGCAACCCCCATGAGTAATTAAACAGTTCATTTTTGATCAGATGAACCTTTTTATTTACACTTTTTGGTATTAAATGAATTACAATTATGCTTATAATCTTGAAATGCTGCCTATGTAGGCCACTCACTGGATTTTGTATCAGAGGTTGTAAATTGTCATTCCAAGGATTTCAAAAAAATGCTGTGAATTTGGTAACGGGACATAACAAGCAACTTGAGTAACTTCCTGCTTGACTTGAACTTCCTGCAGAGTCGTTTTCACTGGGGGTGGAGCCGCTTTGAGAGGGTTCTTACAAGTTCCTCTGGCTGAAATATTAATCTTTGATTAAAAAGGAAATACAGAAATATTGAGGTATACTGTAAAAATTGTCAGAAGACTGAAAAAATATTAAGAGGTTGTTTTTTAGCCATATCACCTGAGTGTAGTGTTAATCCTGGACACTTTTTTTAAAATACTTTGCTAATTAGAAATGGATATATTTCTAAACAAAGGTCTTTCAGCTAATGAACGATGTAGGGGAACATGTTTTATGATAATGCCCCAAAATTGACATTTATGTACTTTAATAACTCAATTTGTGTAAACTAAAAGCATTCCATTTAAATTTGATCCATCCTAAAAGAGTACAAAGTCTTCCAAAAAAAAAAAGCACTTAAAAAAAAAAAAAATCTTGTTCCTAAATCCCTTTCATTCTCTATCCTCTTTTTTAATATTAAATATATGTTCTTATGCAAATAAGACATCATATCATGTAGTACAGTTGACATTTTTTGCGTTATGTTGACATTATGCGTCAGAGAAATAAGTGTGCAGTCATCTTTATTATTTTGTCTTTGAGCTTCCATTTGTGCAGTAGCTCTACAGCATGACTGTTGAACAGCAGTTAGCTGGTGAAGTGGATTTACTAATTGTAGAGTTAATGAAAGTTATGTGCATTGTAATGTTTGAAGCGGATGTCATAACATACGTCAGTAGACCAGGAAGATTTTAAAAGGAGCGCTTCATTCATAAATGCATACGAACTTACTTTACCCGGAAGACAGCGAGCGCTGTGCTGAAACGGGGCGGAGCTACGTAAAGTCTATATAAAATGAATTAATTGCGCAAAGAATAAAATGCTTCTTTAAAAATGAACCAAAACCTTCATCTGACAGCATTGATGCTTGCTGCCAAAGAACCAACGGTTGTTACAACGGATGAAGTACTAACAAACATTGTTTCAAACAACAAATTAAGAGAACTAATTTATGCATTTCAATACAATTATTTTTTAAATATAAGCAATGAATGCCCCAAATATACTGATTCCCTTACTGTCTTTTGGACATGTTTTGTCCCTTTTTTCAAGAATCAGTGTGATAAGATCGCTGATCCTGCATCAGTCTTTACTCTTCAGGAGTTTTGCTCTCATCGCTCATCTCCTGCTCTTTCCATATTTGTCTTTCTCTCCTCTGTTACTGTATTGAGGTGCTGTAGGATTATAGGAAGATGGTAAGTGTGTGTGTGTGTGTGTGTGTCTAACCTGTAGCGATTCTCTCTCCAAACCCTCTCAGGAGATGCAGAGCTGGTTGCAGTTTGACATTATTATTGCATTAATGTTCAGACTAATCATAAATCTTGTTCCCTCACTAACCCTGATGAAATGATCTTGCTTGTATGTGTCAGTGTTTGACATTACCCAGAATGCACTGGTCTGTACCGAATGGCATGAGTGTGCTGTGTCCAAATAGGATATACAGGGTTCATGGTCATAAGTAGCCATAGATGCTGGTATGGCAATAAAAAGTAAATGAATAAATTCATTGTCATAAGAAAACCAGGAAATGTCAGGTTAAAAGTATGTTTTTAACACCTGGAAAAACATTTAAATTTCTATGATAATATTTAATTATGGTAAAAAAATGTTTATTATTTATATTATTTAAATACATTTATAGTATTATTAATATTTTGAATGAACTTTTATTTTTATACTTCCAGTTTTCATTTTTATTTGAGATGTTTTAGTAATTTTGTTATGTGTTTTTATAATTTCTATTCATTTTTATTAGTTTTGTAATATCTTTTTTATTTCTGTTTTAGTAATTTTAGAACTTAAATTTAAATTTCATTTGCCAATGCAACATTTGTAATTTAAAATTTTTTATAGAAAATGTAATATTATTTTTATATATATATATATATATATATATATATATTATAGTTTTAGCAAAGTGTATTTCATAAAAATCAGCGACTTTTATTTTGAAAAACTGATGAAATGAAGTTTGTTTTCCCAGTTATCTCCAGCTCCGTTCGACACTTTTAATTTCTCTTTCAACCTGCACAGCTTCCGTTCAGCTCAAAATGAAAGATAACATTGAGCCTTCTGACCTTTGACCTCTCCGCTGTGACCTGTAGGATCTAATGGTGGGTGACGAGGCGAGCGAGCTGCGCTCCATGCTGGAGGTGAACTACCCGATGGAGAACGGGATCGTGAGGAACTGGGACGATATGAAGCACCTGTGGGACTACACTTTCGGCCCCGAGAAGCTCAACATCGACTCCCAGAACTGCAAGATCCTGCTCACAGAGCCGCCCATGAACCCCACCAAGAACCGAGAGAAGATCATCGAGGTTTGAGTGCCCGTTTGTTGAATAACATCTGTGATGAACCTCAATGAGGTTTGTGATTATTTTTGACCCTCTTGTCTCCCTGTAGGTGATGTTTGAGACCTATCAGTTCTCAGGCGTTTATATCGCCATCCAGGCCGTGCTCACTCTGTACGCTCAAGGTAAGGAAACCTTTAATGATGGGAAAATAAATAAATTAAAAAAGAATATATATATATATAATAAAATTAAATAAAATTAAAATACGAAATAAAATATAACATAATAAAAATATAAAATAAAATGTAAAATAATAAATATAATAACATGTAATAAAATGTTGTATAATAATAATAAATATAATAAAAATGTAAAATAACAAATATAATAACACAAAATAAAATGTTATATAATAATAATAAATATAATAATGTAAAATAATAAATATAATAACACAAAATAAAATGTTAAATAATAATAATACATATAATAAAAATATAAGATAAAATGAAAAATAATAAATATAATAACATGAAATAAAATGTATAATAATAATAAATATAATAAAAATATAAAATGTAAAATAACAAATATAATAACACAAAATAAAATGTTATATAATAATAATAAATATAATAATGTAAAATAATAAATATAATAACACAAAATAAAATGTTATATAATAATAATAAATATAATAATGTAAAATAATAAATATAATAACACAAAATAAAATGTTATATAATAATAATAAATATAATAATGTAAAATAATCGATGCAGGAGCAGCGAGAGGGTTATTAACCCATAAGCTCTGCTCCATAACCTAGTGAGCGTTTTAAACCATCTTAAACCCTAATGACCCTCTGGACAGCAGACTTGTTATTGCCAGCAGAGGGCAGCAGTGTGGTGTGTAAATTTAACTCTTTGAACCTGTCAGCATTGTATAAAATGGGAGAATTCACACTAGTTTGTCCCTGGGTTTGTAGCTTCCGGACGGCAGAGTGATTAAAGTGGGCGGCGAGCGGTTCGAGGCTCCAGAGGCTCTGTTCCAGCCTCACCTCATTAATTTTTGTCTCCTTTTTTACAAACTAAATAATAATAGTAATAATAATGCATTTTATTTATCATGTGCTTTTCTTCAACCCAAACTGCTACAACAATAAGACATAATAGTAATATAGTAAAAACTTGTAATAACGTTTAAAAAAAAAGTTTTAAAATACTATAAAGTATTATATAAGTAATTGTAAGTAATATATAAGTATTGTATAATTAAAAAAATATTATGTTATTGATAATAATCATATTTTTAATTGTAATGTTATCATTATGTATTTATATTTATATCTTTGTTACAACGTATTATTTATATGTCATATAATATTACATATATAGTTATTATGTTACATATATAGTGTCAAAATGATCTATTTTTTGTCTCAAAAGCATGTTTTTATGTTCACGTACATATACACACTGACATTTGTCTCTGTCTTTATGTCAGGGCTGAGTTTTACAAACACATCGTTTTGTCGGGCGGTTCTACGATGTATCCTGGTCTGCCGTCTCGTCTGGAGCGGGAGCTCAAGCAGCTCTACCTGGAGAGAGTCCTGAAGGGAGACGTCGACAAGCTCTCGGTACGAATGCTTTAACCACAACTAACATGTAATACAGACTAGGGGTGTGCGATATATTTTGTCTGCGATAATATCATAATTGTTGATTACAATGAAGAGATATATAATATTTTTTGTTATACTATGGGCTATCTACAACAGTAAAAGAACCAAAACACCAGAAGACATTGAGCAAATAAATATAACAAACAATAGGGTAAAAAATGGCAAACTATTTCCATGTTTTCCACCTTTTTTTATGTATGGAAATCACGTACATAAATTCTTTCTCCCGTTCTCTCTCACAGACGCACACACAGTGCAGACACGCACTCGCGCTCACACACGGAGACGCGAACAGAAACTTGTCATCAGCGCTGCCCCGCGAATTTATCAGTAAAATAGTTTCGCAGCTGAAAAGCTACATGGCATTTCTCAGTAGCGAGGTTCTTGAAGCAGTTCAACTTAAAGATTTGCTATTAGTAAACGCTGCTGCTGAACACTGAGAGACGCACAGACGCACGTATTCACGCGCTTGATCTCTCTCTCTCTCTCTCTCTCTCTAATAACTGCATTAGCCTGCATATCAATGGCCCAAGCCTCTGTTATTAGCTCTAAAATTACGTTTTGGAATTTGCAATGGAAGGTTTATCTTGAAATAAATCATCTGAACAATATCTTGATGTGTGGTTGTGACACCAGGCCGTTAAAATTATTAGAGAATTAATGCACTCCCGAAGTGGTAATGTGGCCACGACGCTGGAGCCTATTAATGGAATGGTCTTTCTCCATTCAACAAATTAAGACATTTGATTTTTATTGACTGAGTGCAAGCGCTTATTGCGACAGAAAACACTGTAACGGTTTCCACTGATTACGAAATATTTTTGTTTGCTGGGGTGGTAATATTATATAGGCTAGGCCTATTAATAAGGAAGGGGGTGGCCCAAATAATTGTTTTGCCTATGTCACGATAAGAGGTAAATCCGGCCCTGCGTGAAGTGTAGACTAGTGCGTTCTTTCACTGCATGATTCAGTCTGTTAAAATGCATTTAGGGCTTTATAAAGGTAAAAATGCCCATAAAATGTGAAAAGTATTAAGTATGATATATTTGCATATTATTTTAAAAATATTAATTTCTATCACTGCTGTGAACTGATCACCACACAGAATATGAAGAATATTAAAAACTCCACAAGGTTCTGATCACTAGGTGGTGATAACTGACTTGTTAACAATGTAGCAGTTTATTTAGCAGTATTTGAGATTATTTATAGACAGACATTAGCTTCCTTTTATTAAGGGAAATTCCTTGCTGAAATTGTAACATTTTTACTTTTTAAGGACATTTTTCCCCCCCCTAACCATGTAAAGGTCACTGTGATGTTTACAGATGCACTAAAACGATAACTAGATAGGCCTACAATAGTCAACTTTTTAAAATATTATTTCAGCTAGTTGCAGGGGCGAAATTTCAAATTTTCATTAACTAACTTGTACTAAAATAACTTACACTGAAATAAAAATTCATAAAACTATATAATCATATTTTAAGAAAACCGTAACAAATTAAAAACAACAACAACAACAAAAAAACAAAATTATTCTGAAAATGGAAAATATAAAAATACAAATTAAATGAGAATATTCATAAAAACTGAAATAGTATCTTAATATTAAAATAACACTGGCTAGTTTTGAGTTTTATTACTAATAATTTCTTGCATTATATAGAATTGCTGTTTTTCTGAGTCTGTCTTCGCTTCTGTTTTTGTAGAAGTTTAAGATCCGCATCGAGGATCCTCCACGCCGTAAACACATGGTGTTTTTGGGCGGAGCGGTGCTAGCCGACATCATGAAGGACAAAGACAACTTCTGGATGACCAGAGAGGAGTACCAGGAGAAGGGCACACGCGTTCTGGAGAAGCTGGGGGTCACCGTTAGATAAATCATACACACGCACACACACGCACACAACATTGTGCACTCACACTCCCAGTCACAGGGTGGCATTTTGGCAGCGTAAACACAGAGGTTTTCGGCAGATTATGAGGACGAGAACGACGATATTCAAATACTTGAAATTCCTTTGCAATCCAAAAAAAAGTGCTCGATGTTTGTACGGCATTCCAAATGTAAAGAATGAGACAAAAATTTAATGAAATCGAGTGATTTGCTCACGAAACGACTCGTTTATGCTGCCAAAATGAATCCTCAAGCGATCCTTCATGTATCACCATATCATGACCTGTTTTGAGTCCTGTCTGTCTCATGAGTTCACATTGACCCTAACAAAGAGAAATATTGCTCAAGAGAAAGTAAGAAACAAGAGGATGTTTAAACAATAAAAAAATATGTATTTTTCAGGAAAAAAAAGGTTCTTTGGTAATAAAATTGTTTTTGTAGTAAGGATAAAAATCGCTGCAGCCAATTTGCTAATAAAAAAATGAAGAATATAATTGTGGCCAATAGTATCAAACACATAGACGTACTTCTAAAGGCAGATTGCTTTTGCTGAAACGTCTATTTTCTTTCTTTAACTTCCTGTGATGTCTTTTCCTGTCTGTAATCTCAGCATCTGTGCATTATTGGATGCCCTGAAAATAGAGAGAGAAAAATGCAGTAGCAACCGGGACCGACTTCCCCAAATAGCATTTAACAGAACATTTGAAGAGCGTGTTTTTGTCAAATAATGTCGCTGAGGAGGCTTTGAACGCACTCTTGATGAGCAGAGTGTCATTTTAGTCGTGAGAATTGGCATTTGGAAGTCTTTACATGTAGACTCTCTGTGCATGTCATTCCGCCTGCAGTTCCAGGATCAGTTTAAAGGACCTTCATAAATGATAATATCAATATCATACTGCATTTAAAAGGGAAGTGATAATGTTTTGCGTACAGTTGTATCTAGAACCTCATTTCCGCAAATAGCTGGGTGAATCTCATGAAACATGTCTGAGTCACGTTTCATTTCAAAATCAAAAGAAAGAAATAAGAAGTTATAGTTTCCTTTCATGACATTCAGCACTATTTTCCCCAAATTCTCATTACCATAATGCAGAAAAATCCCTTGTTTTTATTTCCATAATGCAAAAGGGGAACCTTTTTTTAATTATTGAAATGCATGCATGCAAAAAAAATTTCTATACATATTGTTGTCATTACCTTAATGCTATTTTTCAATTGTGTAGTAATGAATACTACATGGTGAGTTTTTTTTCTACTATGTTTAATGCTGATTTAAATGTAAAAAACTAAATAATTCAATTACAGTATTTGTACTGCAATACAGTTAAAATGACACTAGTGAGAATCTAATAACCCTTTTGTAGAATAATGGGAATTACAAAATGTCCAGGTGTGTTACTGTAATGAGAATTTGGGAGATGAATGTGTGTAATTGTCAAGGAAGTAATGATACTAAAAGAGGATAATCAAATGTCATTTCTGATTGCTTTTGTGTTTGATTTGGGGATTTTTGTGAGACTCCCACACAGAGAATTGGCTATAAAACCGTGCGAGCAGCTGCAGCAGTGCATTTAGTCGTGGCTCATGCATTTTACACACATGTGCATCATCCATCCATACGGCTTCATTCCATTGCAATAACCCTGCATCCTTTTCATCAGCTCATTTATTTAGTATTTGAACGAGTCTAAATCGTGTTTCGCTGCCCAGACGAGCCTCACGATTGTTCACTTTGCTATTTTTTAATGCTTTTGCATTCATGTTTTTTCTTTGCTGTTGGTTGTCAGTCATTTTCATGTCCGAGTCGAGTTGCATCTAACAGTCTGGGAACGAAGGGCCTCGCTGACGCCCGATGGGTGTTTCTGGGTCAGGCGCTTCATTCCCCGACCGAAGGCACCCGTGACGTAACGGTTTACTGCCTATTTGTAATATGAATGACATGACGGTATTGTTACTGATGATGATAATTTTAGTGTTTGTACTCGTGACAGCCGTTTGGAAGCTGGATCAGTGATGTTTCTGTGTTTATACACACTCGCACATGGAACAAACTAAACGAGGACTCCATTGATTTCACTCACACGCATTCTTCCTGTGCCAAGTTTGGGTATTGTAGTCATTTTGTTTGTTTGTTTGTTTTCTGCTTTTGGTTTTTGTTTCATTTGTAGCGTACTGCCAGACCATTGATTTAAATAAAGAAAATTGATTTATAACTCAATGGTTAAAGTGAGTCTTTTAAGCAGACTGAAGCCTGTGTGTGTGTGTGTGTGTGTGTGTGCGTGCGCGTGCGTGTGTGTGTGTGCATGTTAGAGAGAGAAATGGTTGTTTTTCTTCATATGTGACATGTAACTATGGAAGCGCACAAGGAATTGCCGCCCATCTCTGTTACCATGGAGATGTGCTGTACACAAGCAGTGTATTTTCTTTCAGTTCATCTCTTAGAGCTGTAATTTACAGTACCAGCCTCAGACACACACACACACACTCATTATTTAATCACACTATTATCAATATTTGTATAAGTAAACAAACATACATCAATCTGATTATCTATGTATCATTTATCTGTCTCTCTCTATATATGTACTCACATTTTTATATATATATATATATATATATATATATATACATATACATTGATATATATTGTATAAACATACACACGTCACAAAATTATAACAAAATTTATGCAAACACCTTCAAATAAATATTACATGTCCATTTAGTTTTTTGTCTGATAAGTAGACATATAATAATATGCATCAAAACCAAATAACATCAATATAATTATGATCACTTTTTGCGATCATGATGACAGGTTGACTACATTATCCCTAAATTTTAACAATGCATGCATGTTTTTTGTCTCCTTTTCATGACATTTAAGCGTTGGTTTCCTAAATTCTCATTACCGTAATGCAGAACAATCCCTTTTTCTTTTTTTTTTACCATAAAGCAAAAATAAAAGCTTTCATTCATGAAATGCAAAAAATAAAACATTTTTATCGTCATTACCTTAATGCTGTTTAAAATAACTCAATTTTACACGTTGAATACTACACGGCGGGTATTTGTACTGCGTTTTATGCTGATTTAAATTTTAAAAATGAATAAATGAATTACAGTATTTATACTGTAATACACTAAAAAATGACAGTAATGAGAATTTATTAAGAATCACCCTCTTGTAGAATAATGGGAATTTCCTGGTGCGTTACTGTAATGAGAGTTTGGGAGATGAATGTGTGTAATTGTCAAGAAAGTTATGTCGCAATGCAAAAAAACTTTATGATACTAAAACAAGACTGTCAAATGTAATCTCTTATGTTGGTTTGACATTGAGATAGATTTTGTGAGATTCACAAAAGGAGAATTGGCCATAAAACAATGAGTCTCTCAGAGTCTCATGGGTCTGGGCTGGGGTGGAAGAAAAGACAATATATAGCTTTAGTAGGAAATATTTTTAATGTTCGTGAACAATACAAAATGTTTTTTCTCTTTATGTTCCTGTCTTTTTTCAAGAAGGCCATCAGGTTCTAGAAGAGACAGTCATCCTGCATAATAATAATACAGAGCTGTGGCCTGATGATGATGATGGTGTGTGTGTGTGTGGAGGAGGGGGTGATTGTGTTCACATTTGTTTCCGATTTTATTCATGTAAACAGGGGGGCTGTCAGACTCAGTGGGGCCTGTTTAAATTAAGGCCAGGCTGCTCTGCAAACAGCGATTCGCTCGCTGTATGTTACATTACACGTACGGAGAGCAGTGATATATTTGCATAAATGACACAGAAATGCAGATTTTGTCTCAAATTGTGGTGGCCATGAAGAAGTTCACCCAAATATGAACATTTTGTCATCTTTCATTTGCCTGTGGAACGACCAAGCAACACCATATGGCTTGTGCACTATATTCCATGTCTTACGTCATACAGTATTTTTGTGTACAGATCAAAATATTAGTCATTATGTGCTCAAAATCATCCCCTCCGTCACATTTAAAGATGGATTGAACAAGATTTGTTGTCAATGGCATCTGCTTAATGACAAGTAACATGGTACAGACTGCAGAAAACTGTTATTCACATAATATATATCCCACAATTCCACTCTGCACTGTACACATGACTGAACTGCCCTCTGGGGAAGAGAATAGTTATTCTGTTCAGTTGAACACCGCATGCTATATCCAGCGCACAACAAGCCGATTCATCGGTGTATGAAATGAACCACAGACATGTTTACTATCAATATCATTATGCAGCCGGACTGAGAGAGCAGGAATCTGGTGTAAATGCTCCTTTCTGCCAGTTTTCAGAGTTATTTGCTAAGACGGGCAGCATTAGGGCATGCTGGGATGGAGTTTGGAGGATAAGGCTATGTGGCAGCATTCAGCTTCATCTTTCTCTCTCACATCCACATGTAAAGAAAGCTGTCAAAGCCTCTAAACTCACTTTGCTTTCACAATGTGACGTGTTTTTATGTGAAGTGGAACAAGTAGGGAGGGACTTGATTTTATTCATTTATCCATTAACCTTAGACACAAAAAAAGTATAAAGATAAAAAGTAGTAATTATGACAAAAAGTTAAAGTTTTTTATCATAATCATGAATTGTCATAATTTCTCATTTTTATCTCAGAATTATGGCAACAGTATGATTTATTATATTGATTTAGACTTTTATCTCATAATGACAGTGTATCATAATTTGTCGTAATTATTACTTTTGATGTCAGAATTATGACTTACCAAAGCATTTTTAATGTTGCATACAGTATTCGAGTAGCTATTGTATGAAGGAGTAACTGACGTCAAACTTTTGTTTTTTGTCCAGTAGTTCTACATGCTCGCAAATCCTCTCATTATAATGAGTAAAGCATAGACACAATGTAAATAAGAGATTGACTATGTGTTGTTCTTCACTCACACACACACACACACACACACACACACAGATAATTCTGAAGAGGATTTATGCTCCTCAGATTGTAAACTCGACCTCACAGTGAAAGCCCTGCACAATTAATTAATTAATCGTTTAAATATACATATTTACAATAATACATATTTGCTTGTTTTTAGTTGTCTAGAGACCTAATTAAATTATTATTGAAATGTTATTGAAAAAAAGCATGTTTTTTTAATAATAGGCCTATAGATATATATATATATATTCTGTGTGCTTTTTTTCTGCATCATGGCTGATTTGTAGATTGTGCCCCCAAAAATTGCTATGTATTTTAGTATTTCCCATTTATTTACTATGTTATTTTTGACCGTGAACAACACGTGTTTAGAGCAATACTTAAATATTTGAACATATATACACATATGACATATATATATATATATATATATATAAATCGCAAAAAAACGTGTTATATCTATATATGCAATCAGCGACTTTAAATGGATAGTTTTATATTTCTCCATCAATTTTAATTCGATTATATCATTCGCAGTGCTTCATGGGTTTATAGTTCTTTCCCTCATTAAAGCCCAGTCTTGTATCTTTGTCTTTTTGTCCGATTTTCAAAAACCTTTTTGCTTCAAATCAAAGTTTGTACTGTTGTGATTCACCTCGTAGCTGGTTGGTTTGATTCAAGGGTTACAGCACTTTAACAAAGACTTTTTATAAATCCCTTTGGGAAAAATGAATGGAAGAAATACTTCCCGAATCGGCGCCTCTGAAAAAGGGGGCAGGCACTAATGCACTCTATTCCAATGAAGTAAAATAAAAAATCTAAACATATTTCCCCCCCTAAAATGACCGAAGAAGACCAGAGGGTTAAGAGTGTAAAGGTAACATGCAATGTGTTCATCCGCTTCCTTCCCGCCCCAGATCCGGGTCTGTTTCCCGTCATGCTGTCTGCTCATAAGAAACTGCTCCCATGGCTCTATTGAGACCATTTTTACTTTGTCTCTCTCAATACTTTAGTCTCAAAGATCCAGGCGCTACCAAAAACTCCAGACTTGGACTCTTAAAATGCACTTTAACCGGATTTGAAGTGCTGTATCGCTCCACAGAGACGTGCGCGGTCCAAAAGCCTTCCAGCTGACCTTGGACTAATGCAGTAAATTCATTACCGTGACCTCTCCGGCCCTGCAGACAGGTTGCCAGATAACTA